TGGAGTCCAGACGCATGCTTCTGGGTCCATCATCGATTTTGTGTTCCACGACGGTTTACTTGATTTGTTGTTAGGAGTGAGTGACGTCGGAGACGAATGCCTGCACAGCGATCATGCATGCCTCGTGTTGAGTTTTGGAGATGCTTCAACCCCAACGCAAGAGCCGTTAGACGTTGGCGCAGTTAAATGGTGTCGGAGCGAGGAATGGACCGAAGCCCTACAAAAAGTCGAGGCAGCATTGTTTTTTGTAGCAGGCTGGGCTGCACTCCTTATGAGATCCCAAACCTTTCGCTCTTGGGTCGGCAGCGGCGCTAAGAGAGCATTGCGGCAAAAACTTCTCGATAGAGCCATCTGGTGGAGAAATGCATTGCTTACCATGGCTGGCCATTTATTTGGTTTGGTACGCCTTACCCCGCCTCAGCGGCGAAACCACAATGTGGAAACCCGGCAAGTTTTAAAGAACTTATTGGGAGACAGCTTGTCTTCTGACCCTTTGTTGGATGCGCTTCTTTCTGAAGAATTGGTTGAAGCCATTGATGACCAACTGTCACCTCACAGGCTTAGCCAGTTGCGTGACATGCTGGCAACCAATAGGCACGAAGCCTGTAGACTTATCAGTGGTCTTGTCAAACCCCGCGAAAAGTTGCTGTTGGGATTGAATGACGACGATGGCAAGACCCTCCCCCTCAACAGGTGCTTGCAAGCTCTGGCTGAAAACATGGAAGACCGGGCTCAGGGACCGCACTCTGGCAACGTTGAGTTCAACCGGATGGTACAAGCCTTGGTCAAACAGTTTCGTGCTGAGGCGTTGAAACACACTGAGCAACAGTTGGGTGACCCCTTCACGATTCAGGAAGTAGCTTGCGTGTGCAGTACCTTGCACAAAAACAAGGCATCTGCCGCCCTTCCTCTTGCTAATTTGCAGGCAGCATCTGATGCAGGCCTCTGTGCTGCGTGGAGTCTATGTTGCCTCATTTCGGTTGCGTGTATTACACCTTCTTCGTGGTTCCGTGAAGTCACTCCGATTCGGAAAAAGGGCCCCAAGGTAGTATCAGACGTGGCCTGCTTGCGCCCCATATCTTACGTTGGGGACTTGGAGAATCTGTCCGATGCCCTCTGGCTAAGCCGTAATAGGCAATCGCTCGAAGCCTACTGCGGGCCAGAGCAACACGGTGGCAGAAGCGATGCAACATTGGTTGCCTTAGGCATCTTGGTTGCGATCCAAATGAGGAGTGAGGCAGGGTTGCCGACACTCGTCAAGAAAGCGGACCTTTTCCAGGGTTACGACCTTTCTTGGCGAGACGGAACCCTCGTGCATTTGGCCAAAGCTGGGGTTACGGGCCGGGATTGGTTGGCAATTGATTCAGCTTTCTCTGCTGATCAATTCCGCATCAAGCTTGGTTTGTTTGTGGGGCCAATCAAATCGCTGTCCGAGTTCTCCATTGCACAGGGGAAGCGGTCTGCCGTCCACTTGTTCAACTCACTGGTGCGAGGCCTACCGGACCAGCTGAATCTTTCCTGTCAAGGTGTTGGTCTTGGATTTACTGACCATGATGTTCGTCGCTTATTAGCAGGTCGTCCAGTTTACGGGGGATGCGAGGAGCGCTTCAATCTCGTTGAGCATATGGCACAGCTAACCCCAACCGATGCTCAGGGCATCATCGCGAATGCAAGCAGTGCATCTGTGGCGGATTTGTTGGTTGCATTAGACACTCTTGCGCCATCCCGTGTCTGTTGTTTCCAATTTATTGACGACTCTTTTACGCTGCAGTCCACAGTGGCCGGTATCAATGAAGCATGCAAAGCGGCAGAATCTTTCTGTAGGCTGTGGCGGCACCGCTTCGCAGGGGGTAGTAAAGGTCCGACTGTGCTGCCAGTGTCTTGTGCCTTAACCAGCAACTGCTTTACCGAAGCCCTGGGTGGGAGCCGCCCCCAGCTCGTCGACTCCATGAAGATTTTGGGTTCTGTTTTTGACAAACATCTGGCTTTTGAGCAGGCACTGAACGCAGCTTGTGCTAAGCTGCTGGAACAAACCCGGTCGCTTACCAACCAAATTCGGCAACTGGGTCTTGGTACCTCTGTTTTGATTGAGGAGCTGCATTCCAGAGTTTTCCCATCCGCTCTGTTTGGGGTCGAAGTTGTGGCCAGTTGCAGCTTGGGCTGGAAGGCTGTTCAAGTCAAACTGAATCAGACGCACTATGCTCTGGCCAAAGAGATTGTTGGCGTGCCTTGCCTTCGGCTGGGTACAGGGGGGCATGCCAGACTTTTTCAGGAGCTCGGCATCAAAATGCGTTTAGGCACCAGAGTTGCCATGCGCATTGCTCTGTGCCGGGCCAGGGCGTTGAGCATGCCACCAGCACTCCTTGCTGCAGCACCCTTTGCTGCAGCGTTACACCACCAAGGCAAAAACTGGCTCCATCAAGCTGAAGTGATCTCTTCTGCGTGTCTTGGAATTCAGCAAGACTTTCTCGACTCTGGTCCTTGGCTTCAGATACTGCGAGAAGGTGGTAAGAACTCCGCAAAGTTGGCAGTCCAGTTTTGGAAGCAGCACGTGGTTATGCCTGCAGCTTGGCGATTAGAAACCAATTGGTTTCTGAGACAGTGCCAAGCAGAGGGTCCACAGGGCCCTTTGCTCAGGCCTCCTCCTGCATTTGTGCAGATCGTGCCTCGGCTCGCATGGAATGGGGGCCTTTGGAGATGCCTTAGAGCTTGGATGGTGGCCAGACTAACGGGCGGCATTCCGCTCGCCATCTGGTGTTTCTGGATGGGGGTGCCCCAGTCCCTGGCTCTGTGCCCAGGCTGCCGCGCAGTAAATGTCGGGCTGAACCATTTTGTGGATGCCTGCCCAGCTTTCGCCTCACTTCGCCTTCCGACAGGCAATCTCGCGTGGATTCTGCGAGACACTGAGGTTGAGGAAGAACTGCGGCAGAAGTCGCAGCTTCTGGGCAGGGTAGTGAGACTCTTGGTGCGTCTGCGCCTTGGCTAGAAGCACTGGGGGAAAAATTCAAGCTCATGAGGTGGCGGCCCTGAGACCCTGCGGGGTAGTGGCGCCCACACATGACATCTTGCCCGCTCTTCGGAGGGGCTTTCGTCAACGAATCCTATCCTATCCTATCCTATCCTAGACCGGCAGCGCAGTGTCTGGATGTGACTCAAGCAGTCGTCGAATCAACTCATCCTTCATTGCATGGAAACCGTCGATGTATCTTGATTTCAAGTCATTGTCAAACGGATTTGGAAGCTCTGGGCACTTCTTATGTGCCATGGCAGCTTTGAGAAAAAGTGCATGTAGGGTGCTGGCTTGAGGCGAATTGTGCGATTATGCAAGTCTCCGAAACAGAGCGAGTGCGCCCTGCCGTCACGGCCGGGGAGAACACCCTGCACTGGCTCTTTTGCTTGCCCCTGTCCTCTCGTGAAGATCTGCTCCGACTTCAATTCGTCGCTGACATAAACTTGCAGTTGGACTTCGTCGTCTTTTGCAGGTTCGGTTGGGATCAGTGACAAGCGTCCCGCTTGGTATTTGAGTTCCAAATCGCGCAAGAGAAAGATGCCATTGCGCTTGTCTGTGCAGTGGAAGCCCCAATTCGCAGCAACTGTAGCCTGCCCTTTTGGCACAATGTGCTCTGCGACCGCAGGGAACCGTGCGGCGGCGACAACAGGCTTCACGCGGCAGACTTGCGACAGGACAGCACAGCATGCTCCTGTTTCTTGAAGCCTGTAATGTGTCAATTCTTGATTGCGCCACTCCGTACCTTTTGTTGTGGCTGACGCAGCATCTTCAGACACGGCTCTAAGACTGTACATGGGTTCAACGAACATAACGATGTCCGTCCGAAGGTCGGTGACCTTGGTCTCCAACTTCTGCTGGGAGTCCTGGATGGTGGTGACCTTGGTCTCCAACGACTCGACCTTGGTCTCCAACTTCTGCTGGGAGTCCTGGATGGTGGTGACCTTGGTCTCCAACTTCTGCTGGGAGTCCTGGATGGTGGTGACGTTGGTCTCCAACTTCTGCTGGGAGTCCTGGATGGTGGTGACCTTGGTCTCCAACGACTCGACCTTGGTCTCCAACCTCTGCTGGGACTGCTGAATGACACCGAGCTGCTGGTGAATCGATTGCAACACTTGTTGCATATCTGCAGATGCCGACATTGCAATGGAGCTGGTTGCAAACAAAGGCCGCTATGAGAAAACACGCTGCACCGACCAAGGTAGCTCATGCTTTGCTCAAGCCTGGCTCTCTTGCAGAATCTCGCGCAGCACTTGCAGACAGGACATCACCACTAAACATGCAAGGCACACCGTTTTTTGTGGAGAATCTTCACGAAGTAACGCCACTCCAGTGGCTCGTCGAATCATCCAATGCCCCATACTATGCCCAATAAAATGAACACGAAAGTTTTCGTGTTGTTAAAAACGAATCAACCTAACCTTGCCCAGTTTAGGATCTTACATCACCTGATAAATAGAATGAGATAGAGTATTTTAAGGATAATGAGCTACTAGTTGTGATTATATGGCCTATATATGTTCACGGTGATGTAATATCCCAAACTGGGCAAGGCCTATCCTAACTACATCCGCAAGCTACTCCACAGCTACGCAATATACTATAGGGGCCTTAATAATTAGACTCAGGGTTTTGGGTATATCATACAATTGATGACCATAACAATAAGGAACCCCTACAATAATAGAGGTAATTATTCTTCAGGCCCTCTATTAATTACTGAAACCACGCTAAGGATCCCATAGAATGCAAGGCCCATTTCGGATTAAAGTTCAAGGGCTGTTGTCGTTTGCCCCAAGAGCTTGAAATCACCAAAGACTAAACACAACCGCTGATGCTGCTACCCTGAATCTGATCTAAGCCCTACATGCTAAGAACAACCTTGCAAACGAAGCGCGGCAAGACAGATATAAGGCCCCAACCCTAGACCCTAAACCCTGAGCACAGAAGCCCCGAAGCCCATCATTGCCTCTCAGCGAGCCCTCCGGTGGGCCTTCGTGCTAACGGTGCCCTTCACGGCCTTGGCAGCCTGTTGCACACGTCAGAGATTCCCGAACCACTTCGTTGCGGAATCAAGCATCACCCCAAACCCAGAGCCTTACTTACGGCAAACCTGTGCAACGAAAAACTCATAATACTTCCATGGCTGCACGGCAGACCTACGGAGTCACGTGTGTGTGTGTGTGTGTACATCTATATATATATATATATATATATATATAATTATATATATATATATATATATATATATATATAACCTCCGGCTTGTAGGGCTTGGAGCTGCGGCAGTGCTTTAAGGCTTAGGGGACTTCTTAAGTTTGCTATATAAAGGCTACAAGTACAGCAAGCCCCAATAAACGGCTTCTGCTACAACATGCTTGCTAAGTCCGTTACGAAAGACCTATTTAAGGAAACACTGAAGTGTTATGTTCCTCACACGTTCATATGGTCTCCTATTGCTCATTGTTTCTTCTAAGTTGATCTTGCTTCTGGAATTTCGTATGTTTGCTTTGCGTTTGTCTCATTCCTTATCTTCCTAGTTAGAAGTAACAAAAACCTGAAAGCCGGTGATGTTTTCTATGGTTTACGCTTCGCTTTTGCTGTTGCTCATGTAGAAGATCTCCTGTATAGTCTCTCGGCCGTCGGCTCTGCGTACTATAGGGGCATTAGTAATTAGGATAGGGTTTTGGGGCCGCTGTACTACAAGGACACCTCCCTCAGGAAAAAATAGTATAGATACTTACTCAGGCCCTTACATTATGTGCCCCAGACCTTTCTTTGTTCGTTCAGTACTCTGATCTAGAAGCCCAACTTGGAAGGGCAGGGGACTTAGTAAGTAGGTTATAAGTAGAGTTATAAGTACCCTAAATGGAGTTACCCCAACTATAACCCTACTTATAACCTACTTCCTAAGTCCCCTGCCCTTCCAAGAACAGCCGTGGACTAAAACCTGAACCCCTCGGCCTGGCGCCCCTGTAAAGGGGCTCTACAAGGAACCTGCGGACCCTTAAAGGGAACTCCAGAAAGTTGGATCTACCATAAAGGGTTTAGGATAATCATATTCCAACTTTCTGGCTTTTGCTGTACAGCTACAAAGCATGTGAACCCCAAAACTGAAGCCGAACTAAACTATACAGAGGAGGGAACTCTGAACTGAACCTAGGCCAAACCGTAAACTAAATTTCAGCTCTGAGGTAAGCCCTATAAACCCTAAAACCCTAAACTAAAGCCTAATCAAACCAAACTCTATAAACCAGTTTCTTCTTTCGCTCGCCTTCTCCGCCTTCTTGGAGTCCTTTCCTTTCGGGGCCATGGCTCCCAAATGTGTCCCCGGCACCGCAGATCCCGAGAGAACCTGTAGAGCCACGAAAAGTATGGGGTTTCGCATACTTTAGGCTTTTGGATTGAGGTTTATAGGGACTGTTTAGGGATTATGTGTCAAAGTTTCAGGGTTTAGGGCTCAGGGTTCAGGGCATGTCAAACTTCTGAAGAAAGTGTACCGCACTTAGGGCTCCGGCTTTGGGGTTAAGGGTGTGTGTAGGGCTGAGATTGATGTCCCAGTTTCGGAATGACGGCATAACCCCTGGAACCTGAGGTTGTTGGATCTCAGAAAACTCGAAACCCGAATGCGTCCAACCCAAAACCCCGACGAAAGCTCTGAACCGAAAGCCCTAAATCCTCTGCCGTGACCTCTGAACTATAGGTAGTAGGTGCTGCAGTCACCACCAGCCGAAACCCATGTTCCCAAAATCTCTTTATGTGGAACCCCTACCGAAGTGAACATATCAAGCTCATAAGCCACATTTGGAGGATCATGGGACTTAGTAAGTAAGGTTATAAGTGCCTTAATTGGGGTTATAAGTAGTTATAAGTATAGTGACCTAACATATAACCCTAGTTACTGAGTCCCATGATCCTTTAAGTGGGCTTAGACAATAATAACAATTCTCAAACTTCGGATCAGAAGTGGTCCTTAGAGTGAACGGCAAGCAGGGAATCCAGGCTGCAGAGGTTTAATCCTACCCCAAACAGCCTGCACACCGAACCCTAATATAGAAGCCGGAACAAGTGCCAATGTCACTCTGTAGGGTTCCGTATTGCGGCCATAATATTTCTTGGGGTCTGTATTTCACCCGAAAAGGCTAGCGCCTTTGCCAAGGCTTTTTTGCCCCAACTCCTGCGTGAAGTCTTCTAAGCAGCTGGCGGGTTAAGAGTAAGCATCACAGGCCAGTCATCACCAAACCACTGCGGCACAAGCAGCATGGCCTCAGCGTGCTTTGGGGTTTAGGGCCGTTTGGGGCTTAGGGCCAGGGTCTGGGGTTCGGTGCTTAAGCCAAAGGGTCCTAGGTACTGTTATTGGGGATACTTCCCCAAATCATAATAGTAACCCTACATTCCACTATATAACGGTACTTTGGACCCTTTGGGTAAGGTTTAGGGGGTTCAGGTTGCTTTACGCTTGTCTCAATGTGTTCGGATGTACTGGGTGGTTCCTGGGTGGGTCATCGAAAACTTCGAAGCGTGTCAGAGCATCAGCGGCGCTGTTGCCATGTTGGGATCAAAAAGCAATCGCATTGGAATTTCAAGCGAAAGCAGTGATCTTGCCGTAGGATCCTGTGCGCAAGGATCCCTAAAGACTGATACTGGTTCGTATTATAGAACCTAGAAGCCCTACCTTCTACTATATTGGTACTTTGGACCCTTTGGGTTCAGGAGTTCAGGGGCCGATTCTCTCACACTGAATCCTGACAACCCTGGCCAACGCATGGAAGCTTCCGAAAATCAGGGGTACCGTACTTTGGGATCCTTATAATAAGGATCCTACTATCCAGGGTACTACATTAGGGTCCCCTATTTTCCTGCGCTTCAGCGCTGTCCATGGCCTCACGTCTTATGGCACCTGCGTCTGCGGCTTTCATGGTTAGTCCCAAGCTCACAAAACCGTGAGGCACGGACTCGCAAAGGAATAACGGTGAAGCAGATCACGCCAAGAAACCTCAGATGTTGGGTACTGCCCCGACTCAGTAACAGTTGGGTAATATTCATAATATAGACATATTAGGTCCTTAATAGTAGCCCTATTATAGACTGTTAGTGTATGGGGGCAGTACCCAACTCAGATGCTCAAAATGCAAGCTTGCAAACCCAAATTGGGCGTAGACCCAACACCTTGACTCTTTAAACCATCTCTAGGGGTCCAAGCGCTAGCTGCTTTTTGCTCCTCAGATTCTTACCTGAAGTATACCTCTAAAGCCCTTGTTCCTGATTTCTGTGTCCCTGGACCCTCATGGTTATACTAGAGTTTACTAGAGCTTTCTGCCGCAGGGTATAGGGACAGCAATGGTGCGAAAACGGTACTGCATGACCAGCAATATTTCTGTTTTTGCTGATGGCGCCGTTCCTGTCCTCACTGCAATTGATTCTTGAAATTGCCCATGTTGCCGGGCGAATATTGGGGCCTTAATGATAATCATAAATATATACCTAGGGTCTGGGGTTACATCATACTATAATTGTAACTGGTTAGCAAGGGCTTCAAATTAGCTTGTACCTAGACCCCTCAAAGTAGGTAAAATAATGGCCCAAAACCTATAAAAGGCCATTATTCTACATAGAACTGCCGAGCCGCCAAAATCCCATGCTTTCTTACGGACTCGTAAGTAATTCCCAAAAGGCAGGCTGCTTGTTGGTGCAATACCTTTGGGGTCCAGGTAGGGGCCTGAGCGCAGTTCGGGGTTCTGGAATTCCTCGCTTGAGGGCCTCATACCTGTGAGTCAGGATCTTTCTGCTTTACATTATAGGCCCTAGGGTTCCTTTAAAGGTCTCCTTAAAGGGATCTATAAGGGTTCCATAAAGGGTTTAGGGTTTAGGGGGGGACCCTAACAAAGTACCCTAAATAGTAGGATCCTTACTAAAGGACCCCAAAATACGGTACCCCTAAATTTCGGAAACTCCCACAGTAGTATTCTAGAAGCCTACCCAACAACTAGACCAGGACTGGAGGGAACTTTACACCCTCGATGTCCTGTATAAGTGAGCCTGATGACATCCTATGGCCAGTTGTTCAGGCCCGTTGTTTGTGGGGGTTTTGATGGGAGGCCAAAAGGGGGGTTTAGGATTCTTGGGCTAGGGATTCCTTAATATGAACCCCATTATGGGAACCCTAGCCCCTGGTAAACCTCCATAGGCTAAAACCTATGAGGTTTGGGGTGCAGGAAGGCGGCACAGTCATCAAAGCCCGTTGATTGAGGTCGCAGACCTGCTTGCGGAATTTCCAGCGTGAAAGCATGATGTCAAGGTCGTCTTCAAGGCTGTATCGGGTTCCTTTAACGGGAATTATCGGGTTCCTGTAAGGGGCGCGGTAAGATTCTGGACAGTTTCGCAGGGTTTATTTAAGATCATCGGGGGTTTACCCCAAAGGGTCCTAGGTACTGTTTTGGGTGATACTTCCCCAAATCATAATAGCAATTCCTAATAGAAGCCCTACATTCTACTATAACGGTACTTTGGACCCTTTCAGTATGAGGCTGGTGGTGTCCAAGGCGTCGGCTTGCGTGTCTGGCAAGAGCACGCCCCCGAAAAGCCCGGCCCATGGCAACGATTTCAGGGTTCTTACAACTACGGTTCATGATATAAATCCTGCATTACTTTAATGACCCTAAACTATGGGAATTATGGTATGTTCCTTATTATGGGTCATGCCGGATTTATATCATCAACCGTGGTGGGTTTGGGGCTTAGGGTCGAATTTGGGGCTTAGGGTCGAAAATTTTCGGGTATCTTACTTTGGGGTGGTAGCTGAAGATCTGGATCCCGGTATTTAGATTGCATGGTTTCGAAACACATTCATGTGAAACTCCCCTCGGGAGTCTCCAAAGGGATCGTCTTAGGTCCGGCTGTGAAGTTGGACAAAGACAAACTCCACCGTACACTCGAAACCCTAAAGCCTATGTGCCACTGCAGACTCCCGAAGCCCTACCTAGACCCTTCAAAGTAGATAAAATAATGGCCCAAAACCTATAAAAGGCCATTATTCTACATACTTTTGGGGTCCAGGTAAGCCTAAGGTGCGCTTCAGGGTTCAGGGGTTCTAGGTTTAAGGGTTTAGGATGTCCCAAACCATCGGCGCCACTTGAACCCCACACCCACACCCACACCAAGATGCTGCAGCAGAAGGTACAGGCCCTTCTGAACCATGGTTTCACAACCTACCCTAAACCCTCAATCCCTAAACCCTGAACCCTCATCCCTAACTCCTGTCAAGCTCAACACTTCCGGGTCGGCCTTCCTCTCGTACAGCGAGAGGACCAAAGTGACCATCGAGCCTCTCCATTCAAAGGGGAAAAGGAGAGACCCTTCATGGAGACCCCTACCCTGTAATGGGCTATAAAATGGGTATATAATGGCTATAATATTATGGGTTTATACCTCTTCAGGTCCAGGGACTGCAGCCTTACCAGGACCCCCCCCCCCTCAAGTAACCCAAAATAGAGCCCCTATGATCCTTAATAGTGGGTATTTAGGGTATATTAAAGGGACTTCAGGTCAGGGCTTATTATTACAAAGAGGGTCTAGATAGACTACGACTATGGGATTAGGTCCCAAATCCCAGGGCAGGTTTTGGGTCACGGGCTTCTAAGTTTATCTTATAGTGCCGAACAATGTCATAAAGTAAAAGCCAGAAAGTTGGAATATGTTTATCCTAAGCCCTTTATGATAAATTATAGGGTACCCTACCCTGAAACCATATTCCAACTTTCTGAAGTTCCCTGTATACCTTTTTAAGTGATTGACGCACCCATCTTGGAACCCTCGACCGGCCCAAGGAGGGTGCGACTTTTTAAACCCCCGACAAGACTGTAAACAACCTAGGAGGACCCTATACTTGGAGGGTCAGGGGACTTAGTAACTGGTTATTTTAGGGGACTTATAAGTACCATAACCCCAATTAGGGTCCCTTTTAGGGTACTTATAAGTCTACTTATTACCTACTTACTGTACTAAGTCCCCCGATCCTCCAAGTAGGACCCTTCACCCATAGGCTCCATGGTAGTTCCTTTTTGGGGTTCGTATTTAGAATCCTAGAAGGTGACCCAAGAGAACCGATAGGACCCTATAACATAGGCTCCATAGTAGTTCCTTTGGGGGTTCGTGTTTAGAATCACCCTGTAACATTGGCTCCATAGTAGTTCTTTTGAGGTTCGTATCTAGAATCCGAAAAGGTGATCCAAGAAAGGAACTTCAAGGAGCCTATGGGTAAACCCTTCATGAACCCATGTGGGTGGTCGTCAAAATTATGGTCCCTTTTTGGGTACCATGAAAAAAGTGCCGTATTATAATAGGGACGCAGAAAGGGACCATAATTTTGACAGCCACCGATGTAAATCCCCAGAAACACGCATCGGAGCCCCCTGTGAAGAGCCTGCTAGCACAACTCTGCACTGAACTTAAAACCCTAGCAATTATAATTTAGGTGTTTCTTAGGGATAAAAATAACCAAGAATTAAAAAGTATTTCTAAGTACCCCTAAGACAACTCTACACCTGCCGCAGACACCTGCCCAGGCCAACGCATAGTTGGAGGAGAAGAACACTTCTGGCCTCGGGGGCTTTGTTGGAGTTTCACAGGGTTGGGGCTTGGGCTCTATCAGCTGTTGGGGTGTATTTGTGGGTTTTAGAGTACAGGGCTTAGGGTTTTTGTGGGTTTGCAGGTTCTGGTTTACGCTTTAGGCTGTTTAGGGCCGGGGGCATTTCGGAGCTTTTATAGTGGTTTCCCAAAGACTGGAAAGCCTTCTGATCAAGGACTACCTACCTGACGTCTGAGCAAGTCACGGACCCCTTACTTGATGGAGTCTGTGAACATGAAAACTTTAAAATCCTAAATCCTTAACATAGGGCTGGATTCGAGTAGTCTCTCTGGGTGTTGGACTAAGTGTCAGACAACTCTGAATCCAAAGCTCTCCGACCCAAACTGGTTTCTTCAAGAACATGAGCTCCTGAATCGGTTTAGGGTTTAGGGTTTAGGGATTGGGGTTTAGGGTTTAGGGGAGTATTGTCAAGTTATCTGGCGTCGCGTTAGGTTTGTTGCTTGGCATTAGATACAGTCCCCGGTGTCTTCTTGATTGTACGGGTACCCTGGTTCCAGCTATTTAGCTTCATGCGGAGGTCCCAAACTAAAAAGATGCGCAGGGCCTAAGTGCACAGTTTTGGGGTCGTATTTTGTCATTCTTCTGAAACTATGATACGGACTATAATATGTACGTAGGGACTATCAAGGGCCTATACTAGCTGATAACCTTGAAACCCTGAACCCTAAACCGTAAACCCCATTCCCGAAGCCCTGAACCCCGAACCCTAGATCACAAACTTGTAGTAACTTTTCTCGCCACAGGCACTGTTACCCATCTCGTCAATTATCAGCCTGGTCATCACCAACGACAGCGACAACTATGATGGGAACAAGACACGAATAACAGCAGCTGGGACAGCGACAACTATGATGGGAGCAAAACACGAACAAAAGCAGCTGGAACGGCAGATGCAAATGCCTTCTTTGGCAGGCAGATATGCAGCTTTATACCGCCCGGGCATGCGACACTCCTCCCAGAATTGACGCAGCTCATAAACACAAAGCTGCTGCAAACCGGTGCGAACAGCATCAGGCCACCATTGTGGAGCTGCAAGACCGCACGTGATGCTTTCATACAGCCGGCGTTGGTGAGGATGTTACCTGTGTCATCTGACTCATCGAAATCAGTCACTCCAGGGATCCAGTCCCGGTCCATGGCAACATGCTGACAGCAAGCATGCTGAGCAGCTCTTGCAATGGACCCCGCACCAATCCACAGCTCGACAACGGACGGGGGACGCAGCAGATTCAGCAAAAGTATCATCATCACCACCATTAACAACAACAGCAGTACGGATAATTTTGCAGGCCAGGACTGGGGTCTAAACAAATACTAGCAACATGCGGCTTCCGATTGAGGTGTCTTCTCTTGAATCAACATACTGCCGACCCGACCCACTAAGGCTTACGCCGAGGTAGCTCAGAAGCCCTCAGAGGAACCCGTAAAGGAACCCTTACTGTAAAGTATGGTGTGTGGGCCCAACGGCCCAAAAACATGAGTTCCAAGAGCTGGGTAAGATTCCAGGGACCCAAGAGCCGAAACAAGGAGGAGTTTTGGCGCATATCCCTCTGTACATATATTGGTATGAACAAATAACATATATATATATGTATATATATATATATATATATACATGCGTACATGCCTTTTTTTGTATGTATGTATGCGTGCGTATATAGTCTTACTCATCTTCAGTTTCATGTTCATAATCATACTCTAAGGTACATGTAGTTTGTAGTGACACTTAGGTTCATAATATACATATGTAGGTGTATATGTGTAACATATATATATATATATAACATGTAATCATATACACACACAACTTGACGTGTGCATCTACATGCATGTGTATGTACTATGACTGCTTTAGAGCTCCAAACCCTGAATCCTAAACCTCAACCCTAAACCCGACTCCTGACAAAACTTTTGCATCAAAAAGGAAAAGGAGGGACCCTTAACGGGGACCCCTATCCTATAATGGGCTATATAATGGGTATATAAAGGCTATATTGTGGGTATATACCTAGGGGTCCTTATTAGGGGTCCCCCCCTTTTACCCTTGGATTGCAAGGGTTCCGGGCCAGCCAGGATAGGCTTTTGAGAGCTCCTGCACCTGGCAGTGGCGGCACAAGGAAAGGTTTCGGTTTAGGGTTCAGGGTTTGGGGTTCAGGGTTTAGGGTTTTGAGGACTATCTCATCTTAAACCCGACTCAGAATAAGGGCCCTACTCTCTTTTCCCGAGGTTTATAACGGTTTTGGCAGGGTTCTGTCAAATTTTGGCTTGAAGGATTCTGCAAAGGCTCCTGGAAGCTTCCACACTAAGGGTATAAAGATTTAGGGCTTCCGGGCTTTAGGGTGTACGGCTTAAAGAATTGAACGGTTTAAGGTCTACGGTTTTGAGGTTTAGGGTTGTAGGTCTTTAGGGTTTTAACATGCTCACGGAGTCTCTTTCAGATCTGATGGCTTTGGGGATTCATCTTCCAACAACCGAAGCTCTCAGCCCGCGCGACGCCAGTAAAGAGGCCTGAATATCTGATCATTCATTCCTCCTTAAAGGATCAGGGGACTTAGAAAGTAAGGTTATAGGTACCTTAAGTGGGGTTATAAGTAGTTATAAGTATATTTCCCTTACTTATAAGTCTAGTTACTAAGTCCCATGATCCTGTAAGTTTCGCTCCCTGGTACAGAGATACAGCATAGAAGCCGCGAAACGCCAGTGCAGGGTGCTAGTTCAAGCGGCCAGGTTTGGTACCTTGAAATAAAGCTTGCAATAGCCCAAGGCACCGTTGACAAAACCCTCTGTAAACCACAACGAAAGGCATTCTTCGTCCAGGGCTTCTATCTTATCTTAAAGACCGACGTTGAGACACACGATCTGGGCTCGGTGCCCACCACTGCCCCTGCAACGTGAGATGCAGTGACCTTTGTTGGAAGAGCCAGAGAAACGGTCCGTAAAGTTTAAGGATCAGGGTATACAGCTTTGGCCTTAGGGATTAGGTTTGGTTCAATTGTTGAAGCTTCGGTTGTAGGGTGCGCTTCGGCTTGTAGACTTCAGTGTTTAGTCGGTGGGGTTCTTCACAAGGGCTCTATGACAGGTTCTTTAAAGGTGGCCCAAACAGTTACCGCCAAAAGGCTCCAGAGGGGTTACCCGGGCTTCAGATCGTAGTCATGTGGGGTGATTGTCAAAATTCAGGTCCCTTTTTTTGGATCCCTAATATAATACGGCACCTAATATTTAGGGTAGCCAGAAAGGGACCATAATTTTGGCAACTACCCATTTAGGTTAGTATTCGGGGGAGTATATGATCACGTACTTGGGCAGCTAGGGTTCTTCAGGTGCTCTACGTACCTGATCAAGACTACTCGGCACTTCGCAAGAGCCACTTCATTAATTCCGGGTGCTAAAATAAAATAGAAACCCTGCTTGATCTAATGGCGCCTTATTCACTAAGGAACCTCCAGAACAGTATTGGTAGCTGTTTAGGCCACTATAGTATACAAGGCCAGTTCGACCTCTCCTCAACTCCGACGCCCGATCTCTCCAAACTCGGGCCCCAGCACAGGCACGTTGAGCAAGAGCGGCGCGCTGATGCCAATCGCGAGGGCTGGCGACGTAGTTAAATGTGTACGCTGTTTAACGTTGCTTATCTCTGACTCCATCCGCTGTATCAGAGGTCGTATTCTGAGCAAACCCCGAACCCACAGACAGCAGGGATGGTTGCCATGCTGCGTTTGTTCGTTTCTTGCTCCTGCGCAGGTGTCCAAGCCGCTTCGTGCTCGTTTCTTGCTGCTGCGGAGGTTTCAGTGCCTGGGTTCTGAGGTGCAGTGATCACAATCCTTTAAGTTCACGATCCAGTGCTGCAAAGGAAAGAAAAGTCCGCTTCCTGCTCGTTACAACTCCCTACCGTAAATCCAATCCAGAATGAAGAGTGACCCACAAAGAAATGGCCTTCTGTAGTTGAAGTCGGGTAGGCGGGGATTGGCACATACCTATTGTGCCCAGTGTAATTATTCATTGTTAGGGGTTTAATCATGCTGTAGTTAGGATCCTACAAGGCAACCCAAACAAGGACCTATGAGGGGCCAACCTGTTGATAACAGTCTTATAGAAACATAGTACTTATGGTATCAGCTGGGGACTTGGGACGCAGGGCGAAGGGCTTACGTTCGGGAAGTCCGTCAATGCCCACTGCGATCTCTGTCCACACTTTCGCATCCATCTTCTTTGGAACCCCTTATAGGCCTGAATCAGCGTCCACATCGATCGCAGCCTCCTCATTCGACTTTTTTGCATTGTCCGACTTCTCTCATTCCCAAAAACTCCTGAAAGCGGAGGCTTCTCACTCAACGGTGATAAGGACTGATCGAAAACCTTGCGAGATCCCTGCTGCTTGTTCCTCAGACACGACACTGCGAAATCCGTTGAATGGCATGCCCGCGGCTTCGCTAGAGACCTCTGGAAAAGGCAAGCCCATGGCTTGTGACAGCGCAAAGTAATCGACTTCGTCTGATTGACTGTGTTCGCTTTGAACGAAACTCCCTCGACCTGAACAACAGCCGGAGCCTTGAGTACCCCCAAAATCCAACGGAGTGGTCCCCGTAGTAGCCAAAAGAGCAGGTCGCATATAGAAGACACGCGGTTCAGGGCTCAGGGTTAGGGTTTAGGGTTTCGGGTTTAGGGTTTAGGATTTAGGGTTTAGGGTTTAGGGTTTAGGGGTTTAGGGTTTAGGGTTAAAGTTAATGAGGAATTAGGATCTTGGGAAGATGCTAAGGTTAGATAAGATGACGGACGGATGCCAACAAATCCTCATGCGAAGTCTAACCACATCTAGACAGTCTCGGCGCAAGGACCCCGTCACCAAGAAAAACCAAAGAAACCCCAAAACCCTGTGGTTATCGCGTTTTGCATTAAACCGTATAACCGACATGCTAAATCATTCCAGGAAAACGACGCACCTCTGAACTCATCTAATTACATGACATAATTCCAGGAACACGGATATGCACTATAAGAAAACGCACCTCCGAACCCATCTTGCAACCGTAGCAAAAGCCCTGAAACACTTACGCGTCTATGCTGTATGCCTCAAAATATGCCTCAAAAAATCAAAACAAAATCAACTTGAGTTTTCAAACCCTCCAAAATCCATGTTAAGGAATATACCTTAAATTATAGTAGGACCCATAATATGCTTTAAGGTATACTCCTTCATTATAGGATTTTGGAAGGTCGGGGTTCTTCTGAACCCTACATCCCTAAACCCTAAACCCCTAAACCCTAGGATCCATCCTGGGCCTACTTGTCGGGTATCATGGGGAACTCAAGGAACCTTCTTGTTTATATAGGGATTATATAGGGACTATACTACCCCAAAAAGGTTAAAGGGTACCTACTCTACTACAAGGTCACCCTACCCTAAACCCTAAACCCTTAAAGGAACCCTATACCCTAAACCCTTAACGGAACACTAAAGCCTAGGACGCCCTAGGGTCTATCCTGGGGCAGACTGGCCTTGGCTCATCTTCCCTCGGCTCACCCAGCCTTGCTTGGAGGATCAGAGGACCTAATAAGCAAGGTTCCTTAAAGGGTTCCTTAAAGGGATCCCGAAGGGATCTTTACGGGTTTTATAAGGAAGATCATGGGACTTAGTAAGTACAGTTATGAGTACCTTAATTGGGACTATAAGTAGCTATAAGTATGGTGACAATTAATTGGGCTTAGGTAGTTACAAGTATAGTTACCTTACTGATAACCTTACCTACTAAGTCCCCGGATCCTCCGAGTAGCTTCACTTGAAGTGGGCGTGGGAGGGCGGGCGACGCGACATTGACCGCAACACCGCGACATGATCAGAAACCGCCGGATGATGATGGTGGTGATGATGATGATCGAATGACAGAGCGCTCATCGGCATATGCAGATGGCTCCTGTCTCAGGACGCATGCAACACTTACTCCAAGCTGCAAGCGTTCACTGCGCCTGTGTTGAGTGCAACTTCGACATCCGTATTGCTTTTCAATGAAGCACCCTAGCCCCTAGCCGTACACAGACAGGACTGAACACCGCTAACTGACATGTTTTCCGCGTTCATCTCCGCGTCCACTCCGCGCCTTTAAAAATCCACTTATTGCAGGCTACTGCCTGACCCTTCAAGATTCTAAGAGTCGCCATAACATGGCTGTGCAATGTATCATCGGTTTTCCGATTTCGGACAGAGCTCGCACGATCCACTCAAACAGACAAGAAATTGCATCTTGCTCTGGTCACCGAACGGCTGTTCGGTGACGAAGACATCAAAGCTCTGGTTCTTCTGAAAGGGGCCCCGCGTCAGACTCTTCTGGTGGATCCCGTTTTCAAGACGCACTCCGTCGGGGAACATCTTCAAGCCGTGCAGGTAGACTGCTTGGAGGGTCGGGGGACTTAATAACCCCAATTAGGGTCCCTTTTAAGGGTACTTGTAAGTCTACTTACTACCTACTTACTAAGTCCCCCGACCCTCCAAGTGGTGTTGCCAATCTGACCGTCATCTCCGGGGCCGGCGGGCCTTTGTAACGCACACAATACCCTAAGGCTCCATAGTAGTTCCTGTTTGGGATTACCTTATAGGATTCTAAATATGAAGCCCAAAAAGGAACTACTATGGAGCCTCTAGGTAAGGATAAGGACCCCTTGGGATGAACTCCCGCTCCTCTACCACCGGTACATCGTAAATGTATGTACTGTTCTGATCCAACTCCGTGACGTGCAGCTCGACGAGGAGGCAGGTTTGCGGCAACGCAAGCGCAAGATTCACCATCACTGCGATGCTGGCGATGACCACTGCCATGTGAGCCATGATGTCTGCAAGGATCTTCACAGAACGAGGTGGCGACCTTATTGGGTGCTTTGAGCTAGCGTGGCCACGGAAATTCTACTTGGAGGATCATGGGACTTAGTGACTAGGGTTACAAGCAAGGTAACTATACATATATAACCCCAATTAAGGTACTTATAACCTTACTTACTACGTCCCATACATCCCTTATAGTACCCTTATACATCCCTCTAAGGATCCCTTTAAGGAGCCCTTTACTAAGTCCCATGATCCTTTAAGTGCTGATGCATTTCACTGATTTGCCCCACATGCCCAGTGGAACTGGACAGGTCCACGTGGCCTCAAGGGCAAGGGGGTTTAGGGTTTAGGGTTTCGGGTTTAGGGTTTAGGGTTTAGGGGGGGATGTTCTCGTGGTCCATGCAAAGCGGCTAGGGCTCTGCATTGCAAGCTTGTAGCCTAAACTACAAAAAATAAAAAAACAAGAACGAACAAACTGACACAAAACGCCACAAGCAAAGAGACAACAATAACACACAGCAAACAAATAAACAAACAAACCAAACAACATAACCAAATCCAAAAAAACTAAAACTAACACACACACACACACAACACAAAAACACACACACACAGACAGACACACACACACACACACACACAAACGAACGAGCACACAAGCAAGCAAGCAAACAAACCGCCAACCAAACAATGCAGAATGCAGATTGAATGAGGTGGCAATTAAGTTAAGGCGTGTCTGCCCGGGCAACTAAAGCCTCACACAACCTAAATTCAACCTGTTGGTAGGATTGGGGGCGAAGTCCACCAAGCTGCTGTTGATCAGGAAAATCGCATGGAAGATGGACACGAAGGCTGTGGCCTGGGTGTGGGTAGTTCCGCTGCTTTTATGATAAGCATATGCCTTCAGTCGGGGTTTAGGGTTTAGGATTTAGGGTTTAGGCGTGTTTTTGTTTTTTGTTGAGAGGGTGGGGGTGTATTGTTGGTAGCATAAGTGCCTGGATCGATAGCATGTTTACTTTCGTTTTGGGGGGTGGTGTACTATTCCGACCCCTGCAGTAGTGCAGGGGCCCGGTTGCAACTGCACAGCTGCTTGAGGTCGATTGCATTGATTGCACATGGGTAGTTGTCAAAATTATGGCCACTTTTGGGGTACCCCTAAATATTAGGTGCCGTATGATATTAAGGATCCCCAAAAGACCAGAATTTTGACAACCACCCACATGGATGACAAGGCTTTCAACAACCATGCTTGCTCAATCCTCACTACACTGATGGCCGTGTAAACAAAGACGGCTGCCGACAAACTGCAAAGCCTAAACCAAAAGCCCTACGCCGTCAAGCTCTAAGCCGTCAAACCCACACGACACACGGTTACTACTTCGTAGTGGCTTGGAAGTTACTTCGAGGGAACGCAACAAAAGAAACACGCGCACGACTGAAGGTTACAAACGAATCTCCTGGAGACTTCCATATGACATAATATGGGTGGTTGTTAAAGCTATGGCCCCGTGTTAGGTACCGAGATGGTAGGTGCCGTAGTATATAAAAGACCCAAAAAGGGACCATCATTATGACAACCACCCATATACTAATGTGATTCATGATTCGAAGAGCGCTCTGGGCTACACAAGCACTCTAAGGGGATGTCGCTGGGCTCTGCCTCTTCTTCTTCGGTCTTTTCCCTCTGCTTCTTGAACTTGTCGATGAGGCTCTTTGTCCGAGCGTCTTGGCTGGAGCCGCTGGGAGTGCTCTTCTTGCGCTTGTTCTCAGTCTGAGACGGGACATATTTGTCGTAGCACCATTTATCCTTAATGGCCATGGCCGCCCGACCCGCCGCTGCCGGACGACATCAGGGTGGGTGCTGCCAGGGCCCCTTCAAGGAAGGCTATAAGCAGGGGCAAAAAAACCTGCATAAACTAGTAAACGATGGTTTCGGGACGAATCGGCAAGACATCAAGCTTCGTTGTGGCATGTAATTAATACACTCAGAAACTCCCGGACCCCAAACTAAATAAAGCCGAAGCCCTCAACCCCTAAGGAAGGCGGTCACTGCTCCAGATCGTAACTTCGGAGCCAGCTCCCGCCGAACAAAAGCGGTGCAGAGCTCGACGCTGAACATGCAGTGCTTAGGGCTTAGGGTTCCCGCCAGAGGCGCATTAATCATTAGAATAGGGAGGGGCCATATGAAAACATACCAAGGAACCCTAGGAATAATTCTGCAAATTGTTCAATATCGGATTCATCTTTAACCCTACACGCTCATGGAATCCTTATAGATCCCTTCACGCAGCCTTTTATAGAATCTTTGCAGATCCCTGTAAGAATCCTAGACCCCTCAACCCCGAAATCCTGGACCCTACATCCCTTCCCCGAAACTCAAAGATCCTTAGAATTAGACCCTATATGGATCCCTAAATGCGATATTATTGAACCCTTAAGGGAGCCCTAATCCCCCTGAACACTAAATTTCGCCAAATCGTTAAAGGAATCCTGAACCCTCAGATCCCTGTCGTACTTAGAGGACCATGGGACTTAGTGACTAGGGTTATACGTAAGGTAACTATACCTATAACCACTTATAACCGCAATTAAGGTACGCATAACCTTACTTATTGAGTCCCATGACCGTCGAAGTAGTGAACCTCACAAAGTTGGAATATGGGTTAAGGCTGATTGGTGCTGGGATTCCCTCTGCTTACTTACATTAGGGGCATGAGGATTCTGATGCTGCAACTTTCTCGGCTTAACTGTAAGCCCTACAGGAGAAGCCCAAAAGTTGGAAACCCAATAGCCTCCATCCTTACGAGTAGCGTGTAGGGAATCCCAGCACTATGTGGCCTTAAAATAATTTCAAACTGTTCGGGGTTTACTGCACACCCCAAACCCCTAAACCCCTAAATCCCCAAACCCTAAACCCTAAACACCTAAACCCTAAACCCTAGACCCTAAACCCCTAATCCATGGTTTACTGTAACTGCAAACCCTAGAGGAGCCCAGCAAGGGGAGATCCGGGACCTCGCGCTGAGAGGATTGGATCCAGAGGCCTGAGGATTCGATCATTACGGCTGATGATAAAACTCCTGCATGACTCAAGATAAGGAATATACCATAATTCCCATAGTTTAGGGTCTTTAGGGTAATGCAGGATTTATATCATCAACCGTGGGGATAGGATGGAGAGGGCTCCTTCAAAGGTTCCGGTAAAGGTCCGTGAACGGCTCCTTGCTAAGGGATCTGTAGGGGTTCTGCTGCGGAATCTATGACTCCGCTCAGCTTCTGGACTTCTCTATCGGTGGGTTCTATAGGCTTTGGAGGTTGAATACAAGGGCCTAAATGACTACCAACACTATTGTGGGGTTCCTTGTTATGCCTATAGTATAATATCTAATTGCTAAGGTTCCTGTTGTCTGCATTTTTGGACTTCTAACACAGGGTTTACAGGGCTAATACCTGTTTGTTCCGTGTTGTCGTGTAGGAAGATAGCTGTGGTCGCGGTAGTATAGCGTCAATGTCGCCGTCGTCTTCGTGATGATGGTGGTGGTTGCGGCGGTCGTTTGTTGAGTAGTAGACCCAAGAGTAACCTAGGAATAAAAAGGGTGCCCTTCTTGGGCTAAAGGGTGTTAAGAGAACCTGAACCCTAAAAAGGGAGTAAGGGCCTACTCTGGGTCCTAGAGTAGTAGCATGGAGTAGTACTTCAATGCTAAGCAGTGGTTCAGGGTACCTGGTTTCAGGGTTGAGCCTCACAACTAGCTCAATTTAAAGGAGAGCTACAATCTACAAAATGGTTGAGCGTGTGAATATGGGGGCCTTCACAATCAGAATATGGTTTGGGGGCCCATTATACTATAATCATATCACGGAACCCTCAAAATCGTATTGGAAATTATCTAGGCCCCTACAGTACACTGCTCTTAACCTTTGAGCACCCTGATTTCCCCTGGCACCTATGAGGCTTGACATGTTTGCTCTCTTGGCTGATTCCATCTGCAGGAGCATGGAGCTCTTAAGCCTAAACCCTATACCCAAAACCCTAAACCCGAAACCTTGCTTGAATGATCAGGCGACGTGAAAGTGGTCTATATGCAAGGCTACAAGCCAATTTAGGGGATGCATTGTATGACCCCCAATATAGCCTATATGCGTAGTGAGTACCATGATCCTTCCAGTCCAGTACTCTCCCAAAACACTCTGAGTGCTTCGGCTGAAGCCACACGGGGTATTCCGGCAACACGCGGAGACTCCTGGAGAAAGTCGGGATTGAGCTTTGAGTGTTGGGATGAGCGTTTCCAGTTTAGGGTTCAGGGTAGGGTTGTTGTATGATGTTCAGTGTATGTTGGTTGTCAGATAGTCGCCAGATAGCCTGGTCTTAAGAGTCCGAAAGCAGGCAGGAGTTTTGTGTGCGTGTGACTGTATTATAATACAATATACCAGTCCTGTACCCGTCCGATGCGAACAGCAACGAGGAAACTCCTTCCACTGTGGTGTCATTCCCATATTCAGAACCGGTTATTGCGGTTCCTACAGAAACAACGTCGGAATACCCATAGGCTTCATAGTAGTTCCTTCTTGAGGTTCATGTTTTGAATCCCATGACTACGAGGTCATCCTAAAAACGAACTACTGTGGAGCCTATTGGTATAAGTGAGTATACCGATAGTTACCGTACTTATAACCCTAGTTACTAAGCCCAGTTGTCCTTTAAGCAAGGGTTTCTACGGCGGAGCCTATGGAACTCGTAAGATATGTTTTTTTCGGCCGAGGCTGGCGAATAAAAGCTGCTCCGTTTCTATGATATAGAGGCCTTAATAAATAGCCTAGGGTTCCTTTAAACGGGTCCTAAGGGATCTATACCTATAATGGGGGTACTATGATATATAGGCGCCTTAATAATTAGAATAAGGCTTTGGCCCATTGTACGATACTTGGTGGTTGCCCCTATATTATCTGCAGCAACAGCGGCTTAGGGCTTGGGTTTACGGATAGGGTTTACCGGTTTAGGGTTCAAGCAGCAATAAGAAAAAACAACAAAACGAAAAAAACTAAAACACGTCTTGGGAGCCGGGTTCCTGCTCCGTAAAGTAATAATAAGCTACATTGCTCAAACTGAGGGCGTGCTTCTGTAAGGATGGGGTGCAGGGGGTTGGGGCTTAGCGCTACTTAACCCTACTTGAACCAACCCAAACCTACTTTTTCGTAGGTGCAGAATACAAACCTCAAGAAGGAATGTATGGGGACCCTGCAAAAAAACTAGGTTCTGGTGGGTTCAGGTACGGTTTGCAAAACCTTCCATCATGGCCTTGCAAGCTTTGCACGAACTACCGAGGCCCGCACTGGTAGGTCAGGAAGAAGTAAAAACCTCGCCACGGTGAAGCTCCAGGCGATACTAGCTGTCTACTGTAGTCTACTGTTTCGGTATCTCATATGGGTTACAAGGGTTACAAGGGGCTATAAGGGTTATACGGGTTCGGGGTTTAGGGTCTCCAGGGATTCGGATCCAGCATCTTTTTCCTGTAGCTACTTCGAGGTCTGGTTACCCATAGGCTCCATAGTAGTTCCTTTTCGGGTTTACCTTATAGGATTCTACATCTGAGCCCCAAAACGGAATTACTATGGAGCCTATGGGTATCGCTACTACGATCACTACCATGACTCGCGCAACAAACTCAACAAGCTACGGAGGGTTCTGGGGTCAGTCTTGGGGGCCTCAGAGGGTCGGCAACGGTTGATGATATCAATCCTGCATTGCCCATAATAAGGAATATTCCATAATAATATTCCATAATAAGGAATATACCATAATTCCCATAGTTTAGGGTCCTTAAGGTAATGCAGGATATATATCATCAACCGCAAGGGACCGAGCAAACGAAGCTCGCAAGAGATCCGAAGGCGGGCCCTCGGCAGAGTGTTCGGCTTTTGCCTGGAACGCACAACCAAGGTCTTCTTCACGGACCTACTGTTAGGATGTTTCTTTTGTATACCCACCACGCATTCGTGTCTCGAAGTAGGGTTAAGCGCTAAGGGGTTGAAAGGCTGAAAAGCATGCTTGCCGACAGCGATCTGCGGCCCAAGACACCGAACGGCCTGATCCATAACTTTGAGCCCTAAACCCTAAACCCTTGAGCCCAAGATCAGACAGCGTGTAATCCGAAACTGCGACAAAACTTAAGCCCGTAACCTTGAGGCTTACAGCAGGGGTTAGGGTAATTAGGCTACTCGGGAACTAGACCCAAGAGTAACCTAGGAATAAAAAGGGTGCCCTTTTGGGGTTAGAGGGTGTTATAAGTTATAAGAGAACCTAAACCCTAAAAAGGGAATAAGTGCCTAATCTGTGTCCTAGGGAAGGGTACTACGGCCTACTAAACGCTAAGCCCAAACCAACCTTAAACCCTAAACCCTAAGCCCTCGCCCTAACCTTGAACCCCAAACCCTAAGCCCTAACCCTAACCTTAAACCCCAAACCCTAAACCATATCAGCCCTAACGGAAGGATTCCAAGCAAGAGCCTGCCGTATTCACGAAGCCGGCGGCTTGCAAGTTACCCTCCTGGCTGGGCTGTGGGGGCTGAGGGTTTTGGTTTCGGGCGTGCAAGGCTTACGGTTTAGGGTTTAGGGGTTTACGGCTTTAACAGGTCTGGGGGTTTAGGGTTTAGGGGTTGAGGGTTTAGGGCTTAAAAGGTTTGGGGGTTTAGGGTTTAGGGCTAAAAAGGTTTGCGGGTTTAGGGTTTAGGGCTTACAAAGGTTTGCATGGGGGTTTACGGTTTACGGCTTGAGAGGTTCGGGGGTTTAGGGTTTCGGGCTTGAGGGTTTTGGGAGTCAGGCTGGGTGAGGGTTTGGGATTCGGAGCTAAGCAAAAGGGCCTCAACCTCAACGACTGCCCTTCATCTTGGCTTTCTGTCGCTATTTTCGCAAGAACCCCAAATCCCTAGCATGACCTTCAGGGTTCCCTCATACTAATTCTCAAGTTTTGAAGTCCGAACAATAAACAATGAAATATCTGAATAATCAAAACGTGGATAAATTTGGCAAGCACAATATAACAACCCCCTGCAACCCTTGTATGGCTTTACATAACTGTATGCAATGGTAACACAAAGCCCTAACCCATTTGTGTCTTACCCCCCCGGTCACTAAGTTCCTGGATTGAGGAATTAGGATGCACGCGCGAAACATGGTCATTTCTACACAACCCTAAGCACAAAACTCAAAACGCTCAGGCCCTACCTTAACCCCAAATAACCTACCTTTTAAGGACTCATAACCGGAAACCTTATTAAGGCACCCTAAATAGGCAGGATCTTTAGGGTCCAGGGTAAAGACCCAAAACCCAACAAACAAATAACAAGAACCCAATGTCCGAACCCCTCACCTCCCAGCAGAAAACAACAACACGAACAAACCCCTAAACCCTAAACCCCTAAACCCTAAAACCCTCAAAGCCCTAAACCCCTAGACCCTAGCCCCTAACCATAACCCCTAAACCCTACTATCCCCTAAACCCGAAATCCCTAAACCCTCAAACCCTAAACCCTACACCCTAAACCCTACTACCCCCTCTAAACCCTCCAAGCCCTGTCCTCACCGAAGCCAAGGAGCTGAGCTAGATCCTGGCACGTTCAGGTTCTTCTTTGCAAGGTTATAGATTATGGGAGTTTCGAAAAATTAGGGGTTCCTTATTTTGGCTTATTTTGGGGCCCCTATAATAAGGATCCTATTATTAAGGGTATTATATTAGGGTCCCCTATCTTCGGAAACTCCCTTATAGATCCCTTACTTATAGTAACCCTTATAGACCCCTTTAAAGGGAACCCTACTATAGATCCCTTAAATGTAGCTTCAGGTTTTTCTTTTCAAGGCTTGTTTCGGGCTTGGCGTTTTCGGGGTTTTAGGGGTTTAGGGTTGTTTAGGGGCTTGGTTTTTATTAGGGGTTGAGTGTTTAGGGCTCCTATAAAGGTCCCTTTAACTCAAGCTAGTAAAACGGGTTCTAGAAGGCCACTGCAGGGTTTGGGATATTGGATTTAGGGCTGTCGGTCCAGGATGCTCAGGGTTTTGGGGTTTTGGGTTTAGGCTTCACGATCCCTTGCGCGGGATTTGCAAAAAAGAAACCTCGATGTTCATGGCCCCTTGAAGGGATGAAATCAGGGCTACCTACATGTGTGGAGTTTGCAGCTGTTAGGTTAAGTTTCGTTGTTTCTGATGGATAGCATCCGTGAGGTTTAGGGCTCAGGGGGGAAATCGGTTTAAACTCAAGTGCTTTTACTAACACTCCGAATGATACGAGTAGTAACAACAAGATGATTGTCAAAACTGTGTCATGATACATGCTTTAATTATGGTGATTTATAATCTAAATCCCCTACTGTGTCATGATACGTGCTTTAACTATCGTGATTTACAATCTAAATCCCCAAATCCCCCCAAAACCCCTAGAAGGCCGACCTGAACCCTAAACCCTAAACCCTAAATCCCAAAAACCCTCAGAAGGCCGGTTTGATCCTTCGTCGGCTGTGGCAGCAAGGATGGCTGCAAGCCGGAGACCTCATCTGGTGGCTGGAAGCTCGCGGCTCTTCATGGGGTATAGGGTTTAGCCCAGAGCCTCCAAAACCCCTTGATTAAGGAATATACCTTAACCTTCAACCAGCAAAGAGAGGGAAGGCAGCGGGCCAGCACAAAGCGACGCCGAGCCTTCCAGTCCTTGGTCAGCGCAAGTCTCACAGACGCCTGAGAGAGCGTGCAAGATTTGCACGTTCCCCTGGCCGAAGAGCTCGCCAAGTCCGCTGCAGCTCACTGCTTTGAGGCTCGGGTTCAGCCGCAGTCTGCACATAATGCTGCAACGGTAGGCAGCTTTGTTGCTGCAACACCTGGCTCAAAATCTTTACAGTACTCTCTGCGTTTTGAAAAGCAGGACGAATTCCCACACCGATTCTCGCATCCTGATATCCCAGACTGCGAAGGGCAAAAACCTTGTTCCGACGGGCAGGCAAAAGCCGGCACTTGCTCAATCTCTCCAACTGTCGGACAGCCTCAATCATGCCATGCGTAAGTTGCCGAACGGTGACTGGGTTGGGAAAGCTTCGCTGGGGACCGTCCAACTGACACGCTGCGGCAAGTGTGTCAGTTGGGACGATCCGGGAAACCACCACAAAATTCACCAGCAGCTCAATGTAGGCAGTTCCTGTGATTGCTCGTCCCTCGTACGTCTCCTCACTCCATTGTAGCGACCTTGCCCAATGCCATAATGGAGCAGAAAGCCATGGTGGCCAGGTGCAGGCCAGGAGCCAAGCACGCTCAGGAAGGGGCAATAGCCACGAGCGGAAGGGCGGCCGGGACAGCTGCAGCCATTGTTCAGCGCCAGTTTGCAGGCCATCTTCTCTCACTGTACTCGGTGCCACCTGCGGGGAAGTATCAGGATCCTCAGGTACGGTAGTACGCAGTAGTCGTGCCTCCTCCCTAGACAAACTAAGGAGGTAGCGCCAGAAAAGCCAAAGCAGGTCACGCTGCTCAGCCTCCGACGTGGCAGCCTGCTGACAAATGTCCCCGACAACAGAGAATTCCCTTTGCAGTGCACTCTTTGCCGCCAAATCAGCGACGGTATTTCCTGCGGCACACCATTGTGGCAAGCCAACCAAGCGTTCAAGATTCTGATGAGAAGCAACCTTCTTGAGCAGAACCTGAGGCATTGCACCAAAGTTCAGCCCCTCACACAGGTCAGGCCACGCAGGCAAACCGCCTGCTGCAATATGTTGCCACTGATCAATTGCAACCTGGCTGTCAGTCCATATCTCGACTTGCGCAACCCCGAGCTGCACCCCAAGTTGGATCGCCTGCAGAATGGCGCAGAACTCTGCCCGGTTAATAGTCTGGGAACCAGGCACAAACCCTTGATCGGCAACCAACAGTTCTGCAGGCAAGGTACCACTCACTCGAAACTGACGTAGCAATGTTGGGAGCTCGATGTCACTGGAACTGCAGTCAAGAATCACCGCGTACGCGGCGCGGGCCGCTCGTGGGCAAGTGGGGTGCACACAAGAGCCATCAGTGAAGAAGCGCGCTATAGTTCTAGGCCAAGGAGACGGAACGACCTCCGGAAGCTTCGGTACCTCGAGTTTGCGTGTTTGGAACACCAGACGAGGGATCTCCAGGTCAACAGGGACCGTTGCAAAGGGGCCATGCAGCCAGTGCGGCCACGACTGTACTGCACAATCCACATACTGCTGCCAGTCCTTCCGAACGTGGGACAGTGCAGGGCAACTCAAGAACTTATGGGCCTTTGTCTGCGGGGCACCACAGAGTGGACAGGAGCCATCTGCATCCTCAGCCCACTTCGCCTTGGCAGCTTCAGAGCCAAAAGCCCCGGTGACATGTCGAGCGATCACAAGTTGTTCAGCAGCCGTAAGCTTCAAGAGCAACCTCCCAGTGACAACTGCACACGGAGGAGCACAACAGGAGAGGCCATTGCGGTGTTGTACCTGCAGCTGAACATGGTATGCCCAAGAAGACCGCAGGAACATCCTGACATCCCGGGAGGTGCAGGTACCCAAATGAAGCCTATCGTTATCAGGACCCTTAATACAGCCATCCAAGTCAATATGCAACCCGATCCGCTGCAAAGACAAGGCCAGGGCAGTAGCCGGGCCATGCGCGGCTCGCAATGGACCCGAAGTGGCCGCCAGCAGAACGATGGAGGCGGCAGTTTCCTCGTCATGTCGACAAGCCCGACGGAGCTGCTGGAGCTGGCGTTCCAAGCAATATAGTTGTGGATCTTGCACTGTGTCAGTGAGGGCTGCCAACGCAAGGAACGGGGACAACACCTTGTAATTTCCCACCATTGCACGTGCTGCCAAGCTGCGGAGCTTCTGCAAATCACTACAAGAGAAACAATGGCCTTCAGAGCCGTAGAGGCAGGCAGGCCAAATTCCTCGCTGGATCAAGCTGGCCTTGGAGCAAACACTGCGGGGCTGGCCGCGCAACCGCTCAAGACGCTGGACACCTTCAACGAGGCGTTGGTTTCGGGAGGCGGCATGCCCCTGCTTGTCATATTTGAAACTCACCCCAAGCTCCTTTGTTTCCGACACCAAGCGAATGCCACACTCAGACGGGAAAAGAAGCAAGCCTTGTTGGCGCCACCATTGGCGGTCAGATCGCTTTGTGGCCCACATGTAGGACTTAGACCAGTCCACCGGCAACCTGAGGACAGACAAGAAATGCAAACCCCGCGGGATTGCTGTCTGAAGCCCGGACCTGGAGTCCGACGACCAGGCCCAGTTATCGACATACGTGTCGAAGTCAACTCTTGGCGACTGGCAGAAACGGTGGGCCCAAAAGCACAGGCAGGCCATTGCGGCAACTGAGAAGGGATCACCCTCTGGAGCCCCATTGTGACAAGCAATACCCTGCTCCATCTGGCCCTGTAGGACAGGGAAGCGTTGCAAGGATTTCAAGCAATTGAACCAGAAACGCAGTTCGGGCTCTGGCACACCTGCCCGGCGAAGCATACAGAACATCGGGGGCCAGCCTAGCTGATTGAAAGCTTTCACAATGTCCAATGACATCCCCAGTCGCGGCACCGAGCTCAGGAGGGACTGCTCAATCTGGTGCTGCTGGCGGTAACTCAAGTCACGGCACGCTCGCCCTGGCATTGACCCAGCAATGGCAAGAGGGAAGTTTGGCGACCACTGCTGTAAGACCTGCCTTGTGAAAACCGAAGACCAAATCCTATAAAGGGTGGCAAAGACAGTAATCGGCCTACTCTGTTGGATGGAGGTAGGGTCCGGGACCTTGGCCAATACGCCAACCTTGGCGCGGAGCAAGTGTTCTGGCAAACCAATGGTCACAGCCTGGTGGAAAGCCATGCTCAGCACCTGCACTGCTGCACCTGAAAGGAGCTTCAGATCCCCCGGGCTCCATCCACAAGCACCCGTGGCCTTATGTCGCCCCATCCGCTTGATCGCAAGTTCCCACAGGTCGGGGGCATACGAGCGAATTTTCAAAGGAGGCAAGCCCTCGCCGCAGTCCTGGAGACAGTCCACAAATGCTGGCCACTCCTCCAAGGAGCTGCAAGCAGCGCCAGCATCCCTCTGCCACAGTGGCTCCCAGAAAGCACGAAACGCGGCATGCAATTCCTGTGGTGTGCAAGCAATGTACTGCTGCCGCAGCTGGCCCACAGCAGGCAAATCAGAGCCGCGCAACCGGACTGATCGGCCAGCCTGTTCAAGCACCTCACAGCAGCAATCAGACAACAGAGCAGGGCCAGGCACCCGAAGGCACACAGCACGGGCGAGTTGGTACCAGGCAGTAGCATCGACTGTCGGCATGTGGCGCTCAACAGCCACTGACACACTACATGGGACCTCAGTGAAGGGCGGATTCTCGGGCCGGCGGACTGCACTAAAGCCCTGCTTCTGGCCACCTTCAGCCTGATCAAGTGCAACCCGGAACCGAAACTTATCCTTACGCTCCTTCGCCTCCCGACGGGCCAGGGCATCGCAGTCAAACCGAAGGTATTGAAGCAGGTCCTCGAGCCACTCAATCCCGGGAAGTTCGAGGGGGAAAGCAGTGAAATGTGCGACCGACAAAACCCAACTCTTAAAGGAGGGCGTGTATCCCTTTGCACGCACAATCGCCGCCCACTCAAGGAAGAGGCAAGAAGGAAACGAATGCGCCCGGGAGGCAACCACCTTTTTCAACCCTCGGAGCAGAGTTTGGACCCTTCTAACCTGGCGAACCCTAACTCTAGCAAGAACCGAAGTAGCCTCAACATCCGGCGTGTAATCACCATCGCGAGCGGGCCGGGCCAGGCAGGGCAGCTCCCGTTTGACAACAGGCAGTGGTTGGCACCGTCCCCGAAAAGCCTTTGGCAAGCTCCGTTGAGGATGCCGCACAGGATCACGCCGGTGGAGCTCGGCAAGAGCACCCGAAGCTGCGTGTTCAGCCGCAATGGAAAAATCACGAAGTACCGCATCAACATCCTCCACAGTTTCGCAGGCCTCAGCCTGGCGCAACAAATTTTGGGACCTGGGCGCGAAAGCGGTAGCAAAAGTCTCCTTGGTAAGGCCAAGCTGAGACCACGATCGGGGCATGTTCCAAATTTGGCGGCAGGGTCTTTGGCAGCAGGCCTCGAGGCTGAAACACAAAGGTGCATGTGTGTCAAACAAGTGTTGGTCTGTCAGGACCCATGCATCACGCCAGAGTGGCACCAAAGTTGGGTGAAGTAAGGCACTGTCGTGACGAGTGCTGCCCCGACATGTGGCCGGCAGCTCAACACCACGAGCAGATTTGGCAAGTGAGAACATCTCACGATACCCTATGTCAAGCAACTTCTGGCCTGAAGGCACTTCGGAAGGCGGCAAATTGAAATCTCCTGCTATGATAGCAGGTACCCCATTTTGCGTAACCCTATCTAGTGCGCGGGACAAGAGGTCTTCATTGGCAGTGCGGTAATCAAAGCGGGAAGCCGGGTAACCATAGACACACACTAGTCGGACCTCCAAAGCACCGACCCTCACAAAGGCTTCAGTCAGCCGACAAGTAGCACGATCTACCTCCGGCAAGCTCGGGCGTGCAGCTCGAGAGGGAAGTCTGGAGACAACAGCCACACCGGCTGCATAGCCACGGAGACCTGGCGAAGAAAACTCAGAGTGCTGATGAGAGGGAACCGGCTGGCCCCAATGGCACTTGAAGCCATTCTTGCAAAACTCACGGCCAGTGCTGGTCTGAACCTGTTGAACAGCTGCTGTCTCAGACAGAAAGATGACATCTGCATTGGTCTGCAGACACTGTGGCACCTTATGCAGAATGCTAGTGGGGTTGATCACAGCGAAGACGCACTCGCCCTTGCGCTGATTGGGAGACGGACCTTTTGTTTGAGGGACTTCCTGCTGCCACCAATTACGCAAACATGTTTGCTTCGCGGGTCCTGGAACGCGCGCTTCACCAATTCTAACACCGGCAAGTGGACTCAGGCGCCAGCTAGCACCACCATCACAGTAGGCAGTGTCCTGGAGGGAAGACAAAAGGACCGCAGCGGTTCTCCACACAGAAGCGGTAGGGCATGCAAAGGGCCGGGTATCACCAGCAACCAAGGGGTGCCACCTGCAGTTTAGCGACACGCCGGTGCAGCACAAGCGGAAAGACCTCTGGCCAAGGCAGGTGATGACACAGTCATTCGGCACAAAGGTAGCAGGAAAAGGGGCGGACGGGGACCACCAGGTAAGCCCGATGGGACCGCCGCTGGAACAAACGGAAAGTCTGGAAAGGTCATTGACCGTGGCAAGAGTCCAGGCACGCTGTTGGTACCCTGACAACGAGGGGAAAAAGCAGGCAGCAGGCCGCGCGGTGGTGAGCAATGACAGCCGCTGGTGTTCATATACCGAGCTGGCACTCATCGGTGTCAACGGTAGCGAAATCCAAAAAGGCGCATTGAGCCAACAGGAAGACAGGCCCAATCCCCAGAGCCGGTCCCACGGCGGGCGCAAAATGGTCAAAGAGGCACCTATAGAAGATGCCAGTGGGAACGCCCCACAGCAAGTAACCCTGGCAGAGGCGGCAAGCAAGAAACGCCAGTCCCGGGAACATTGACTGGCAACCATCTCACATTCCCCTGGAAGACTCTTGAAAAACTGACAGAACGGCATCCCGCCAGGACTTGCTTCAGCAACGGATCGCAAAGACAGAGGCAGCCCAAAACCCCCTGGGCCGGCAAAGCAACTAATGAAAAGCTCAGCCAGGCAGACAGACCTGGCGGCGGCACCCCAAACAGCTCTTCGCTGTACCCTCCTTGGACCCGGTAGGGTCCCGACGCAGTGCTCATGGCACAGGTGGCCAGTTGGCCAGTGCCAACGTCACAGATCATGATCATGGCCCAATCTGGCCTTCTTATTCTCCGCACTGGCAAGCATCAAAGCCTTCAACTCTGCCAACCCATTATTCATCTGAACATCTTGCTGACTCTGCGCCGCACGGAGCGCATCAATGCCTGCCTGGAACTGTTGCTGCAACGCGGACCCTAGGCCTTGCACCTCAGTCCTGACGCCCTGTAGGTCCTGATTGAACTGCTGCTTGTCGGCAAGGCGGTCCCTAGCAGCTCTGGTGGCTTCCTCACGGAGGCCTTCAATGCTGGTTTCCATGGCAGCAAGCTTTTCCTCCTGTTGGTGGAGGCGGGCGACGAGCTGCTGGTCAACAGACTTGGCGGGCACAACTGCAGCAACAGGTGCCGGAACGCTGCTGGCCTGGCGGTCACGGTATTGACTCCAAGGGTCACTGTTCGCCCACGGGTCCTCAAGGTCCTCACCGACCGGGCGATGGGATGGGCGCGGGGCAGGTCCACCTGCCTGTATCACTGGTGGTTTGGCAATGCGGCTCTCAACTGGCGAAACGAGCACCCGCTGACCATTGAAGGAGGCAGAGGAAGCAGGAGGCGGGCACGATGCACCTAGCAACCAGAATTGGGGGCCAAGTGTCTTCAGGACTCGAATCGACCATGAAAGCTGTTTCGCCCAGGCGATGACGGCTTCGGCGTTTGCACTTGCCGGCAGCGGGCCGACTTTATACATGAGCTTGACAACAACTGTCTCAGGAATCGCAGCACCTGGACGCAGCTGCTGGTAAACCTTCTGGAAGGAGGTGTGGCGAACCCTCAGCCCAAACTTCGATTTTCCGCGGACAAGTCCAGCGTGCTCAGAGACAAGCAAAGCCTGTTTCTCAACATCAGACTTAGGCCCTGGGAGCCAAACGACAGCCCACTCAGCATCAACCTGGCGGTCCCACGTTCGAGGCACCATGTATACCCGATTGAACCCGCTCTGTTGCAAAAGCCCCTTCAGATCCCTTGCAGCAACCTTGGCATAAAACAAGAAGGTATCACTAGCCTGCGGTGAGCACGGCTTGCCCGCAGCACGAAAGGAGCGGGCCCAAGGATGTTCAAGAACCTGTTGGAGCCCGTTGGCCTTAAAGGCATCGACAACAGTACGCACCGGTGCTCGGACTGCAGACTGCCAGTCAGCTCCACTGAGCTCATCAGCATGCATGGCGAAGGAGCAGCAGACAGCTCCCTCAACCGAAACACAGCTGTTATGCCCACAGTGAGGGACAAAATCAGTATCACCCACGTTGTGGTAACAGGCAGCAATCAAGTGAGTTTTGCCTGTGCCGCGGTGCACTACCGGCGTGCTGATGGAGCCACCACAGGTTGTGGGGTCAGGGCAAGAGTGGCCCGGGACAACAACGCACAATGCCTCAGAGCCCATGTTGCGTAGCAGGGCGAGGTCCTGCTCATTTGCCTGGCCGCGGTCAAGAAGAATGACTCCTGTGCAATCAGGCGTGATAGTTTCAAGAATTGGGGCAGGCTGGGCATCAATCCCACACCAATCCTCAGATTGCAACTGGAAGTCACTTGCAGCAATGACCTCCTGCTGTGGGAGCTTACGGCGTCGCACTGCCTTCTGAATGCGCTGTGCAGCCTTGGTAGCAGCGCCATCACCAGCCGGGAGGGGCAAACCAACTTTCTTGGCAGAGGCTTGCAGCTGGCGCCAGCGGTCAGCAACCTCACTTTGACCTAATGCATCCAAGCAAGCTGTGGCACCCAAAGCAGGGACAAGTTTGTCAACAGCGACTGTGGTTTCAGCCAACGAGACGCCTTGGTCCAGCAGTAGGGAAGCAACTCTGGATTTCGCAATGGCGAAGTTTGCATCTTTAGTACCTCCCCCGCCCCTAATCTCGGGCATGATCGTGATGGCAAGGAGGCCTTGCTGACCCTTTCTGCAAACCCGCACAGGCGGATCAGATGCAACGAGTTGGCCCAAATTATGGAATACCTCAAGAGGAAAGGGTCCTGAAAAGACTCGGGCAACTGGCCAGCAGCCTGCAACATGGCAGGCAAGGCGCCAAAAATGCTCAATCCGGTCAACCGTCAGTGTGCGCGGTAAACAGCACTCGCAGAGAGTCTTGCCTTCTATCTGCAAAATCAGTGGGCCAACAAGCTCAGCGGCAGAGGTCTGGCTCCAATGTTTCAGCTGCGCCAGCCAACAAAGATTCCGGAAGTAGCGTCTAAGCTGGGACTCAGGCAAAGCGGGAACAAGACCAGACGGCCGCAGTCGGAAAACAGTAGGCGCATCAGCCTGCATAGGATCAATGTCCCAGACCTCCCAACCCAGGCATTCCAGGAGATGGCCTGGGAATTGGAGCCACCACTTAAGTGCACTGTGCGGTTGCACACACACCTGAAGCGTCTCACCTTCAACTTGGAGCCTGCAGTCACGCATGCACTCAGCTTCCAAGCCGGGAGTGGGGAAAAACAAATCATCTGCCTCAGTGGCAATGAAAGTGACCGTCAAGAACTCCGAGAGATCATCAAGCGGGCGGCCAAAGCAACTCAGGCACTTAACACTCAGGCCGAGAGGGCCGCGACACCGATCGAAGGCCCACTTAAGCTGGTGGAAACAGTCAGGCACAGACAACAACAGAACAGCGCGAAGCCTCGGAGTGCACAGGAGGACTGGCCTCGACCAGTGGCAGGGTTCCCTGGCTGGGGCAGCAAGATCAAGGACGAAGGCCTCACAAGCCTGGACCCAGTATCGCCGCTGGCCGGCCTGTTCACCAACTAACTCAGGGCCCTTAGTCTCGAGGTGAAGAAAATCAAGCACAGCCTGCACATCAAGATGACTACTGAAGTAAACCACTTCAGCGCACGAAGCTCCTTCCCACGGTGCAATGTGCAACTCGTGGAACCTACAGGCCGCACTATTAAGCCTGTGCTCAATCTGCTGCCGCAGTGATTGCTTGGCAAGTGCTCGGCCGACCGCCCGCACATGAGCAAAAATCCAACCCTCCTGAACTCTGAAGAGTGCCGATGTCCTGGCTGTCAATCGCTGGGCCTGACAATGCGCCAGAACCTGCAGTGGATCCGGAGGGCCGGGGCGATCCAGGAATTGCAGAGCATTTGCCAAGATCAGGCACGCCTGCTGGACAGCCAAGGCATTCCCGTGAATCCGCATTGCAACAGTATCATCATTCGGCAACAAATGAACCTCCTGGGCACCGTGACAGGAAGCAATTTCAGGGGCAGCGAAGAAACGTACAGTCTCTGAGGTTTTCAACAGACTACAGAGCAAACCACCCTTCTCAAGAAGATTCTTCGGAAGTGTGTGCTGTTGGTGATAAGCTGCCATGAAAGTCCGAGCCTGCTGGGCGGGGGTGCAAAGGCGGAATTGCTCAACTGTGGCCGGGTCATGTGCCTTACCTGGCGGGAGGTACCACGGATCTAAATAGACCCCAAGAACATCCGGAGGGACACGGCAGGGCCGGAGCAGCCCCGGCGGCAACACTGGGAAGTAGGACTGCATGGCAGCTAATGTAGGTCGTGGCAACGGCACCCACTCAGCTCTAGTGACAGTCTGCGGTACTGCGCTGGATGCTGTATGCACAAAGACAAGGAAGGCCCGACGGCGCCAGCTCGGAGCAACGTCGGCCAGTTGCAAGTCTCCCTGGTACACTAACTTAAAACCCGACTCCTCCCAGGCCCTCAAAACCACAGGAAAGTCCCGGTGGCCTACGAAACCCCTGACTTCCTCCAGGCACACCAATGGAACCTGCACTAGGCCCAGTACTGCTGCAAGCCGCAACACCAGGCGACCATCCGGTGAATCCAATCCCGACTGCCACCCTGCAGTGGACCAGGGTTGGCACGGGGGGCTGCAAACTACAACCTCAGGTGAAGTTGCCGCCCAGATGGGTAGCCACCAGTTATGCTCGAAATTTGCTGACAACAGGAGCGGAAAAGTCTCACTACAGATCGCTTCCTCCAGTTCGCTGGCTGACTGTACTACCTGGAGTTCCGGGATAAGAGTCTGAAGCGGGGCAACGACATCGTCCTCAATATCAAGCATCCACGATGTATTTACCGAAAACCCTGCAGCCTGAATGCACCACGCCGCCTGTGTCCAGCCGGCAAATCCTCCTGCGAATATTTCTGCCATACTCACAGCCTCATCTGCCCTTAAAGCGACATGCCCCGCCAACCAAGCCGGCGACCTAGTTGCATCCAGAATGACAATACGATCCCGTACAGCAACTTGCGTCCAGACGGCCCGAATAGTTTCACAATGCTGCACTAAAGAATACCACGTCCCAAGCGGCACCCTAAGAACTGCTTTGTTGTCTGGGGCACTGGCTGCAAGCGGCAAAACCGAGTGGTCCTGAATCAGGGCCTCCATCTGTTGTATCACCCGAACCCGGACCAGAGCTGAACCAGAATCCAGAACAGGGGCACCCTCGATCTTCAACTCAAAGGTAGCACATGATCCGTCGAGAAGCTCAGGTGAAGAAGTAGCAAAGGAGAAGAGACTCTGAGTGTCTGTCCACCAGTTAGCCATGGCACTGTGTTCTTATGACACGGCACGATTGGTACCCCTTTCGGGGGATAGCAGCCCTGGCGCGGGCAGCCTCGTGCCAAAGGGCTGAATATACCTTAACCCTAAACCCTAAACCCTAATATAGTTTAAAATCTATTCCTTAATTAAAGGGTTTTGGAGGCTCTGGGAGCGGGTGAGGTACGGCCCCTTTAAAGGGAGCCCTATGTAGCAACCTGAAGGCGGACGGTTTAGGGATTAGGGGCTTTAGGTTAGGTCCCTAAAGATCC